GGACCAGTCCCCCGAAGAGATGCAGGGTGCCGTGCGTGACACATTCCAGTACCTGGTTCAGCTGGCTGGCCTGTGCTTCCAGTTCACAGACTGCAACCGCTGCTCCGCCCGGCACAGGGAGGCAGCAGGGAACCTGAGGGACGTGGTGTACAACTACCACCAGTTTGTGGAGGCTGCCAAGCTGACCTGCGAGAGAGGCTACCACGACCTGAGTGTGAAACTCTTGGCCCGTCAGTGCACGGCCCTCACAGCTGCTGTGTTCTGTTTGACGCAGAAGTTCCGGGCATCCACTGCCCTGTGAGCAGGCCGGCTGCCCAGACCCCCAGCCCTGCCCTGGACAATTCCCTAGAAGCCTTTTCCATCCCTTTGCCCACCCTCTCAAATGTTTACTATTTAGAGTATTTAAATAAACTGCTGCTTCATCTTGGCCTGAATCAGAGTAATGATAAATTTGGGTCAAAACATTCACTCCTATCCATTCAACATGCATTCACTGAATACCTCCTCTGGGCCAAGCCATATGCTAGGAGTTTAGGATAATTATAGACAAATAAGAAAATCCTTCCCCGGTGGATGCTCACAGACCCTCTGGGGATACAGATAAGTAGATTACCATCAGTAAAGTGAGTATCCTAAAAGGAGCATCCCCTGGGGGTGTGGAAGCAAGACGTCACAAACTGTCCGAAGAAGGCAGGGATGAGGGAGGAAGGTGGGAGTCACTAAAAAAACCAGTCTCTTCATACCACACTTATTTGGCAATAGCGTTGGCAAACAGGAGTGAATACATGGGACATCTGATTTTACCTTCACTAGCACTTGCACCCGAGGCCTGGTGATCTTGGCCGCCTCGCTGAGATAAGCATAGGTTGCCACTAGGTGGCAGTAAATTCCTTAGCTGCGTGGCTACATTTCAGGTGTGCTTTGTCGAAACTGACTGCACCCCTAAATCTTGCACCGTATTTTTGTTTTAAATAGTTAAAAGTCAAGCATTGAAGCCCAGAGTTAGATTTGCCTTTTTAAGAAGAATACTGGCGCAAAACAAATATATTTAGTACCTTTCTTACCAATCCCTGTTGAGTCAGTTAATCCCAGTTAATCTTGGGGGGACCTTGGAAAAGCTATTTAATCTCTCAGTGCTTTGGTTTTCTCTTCTGCAAATTGGGGAGACTAATAGTGCCTGCTCTGTAGAGTAGAAATCTAGTAAATACTCGATCTAGTAAATACTAGGTAAGTAATAACACCCAGCTTTATGGCTGCCTCTCCTAGCCTGAACTCCTGCCCTGCATTTTGTTTTCCAACTCCAGGAAAATCGATTTCAAGCTATCCTTGGGGTACTTTTTCCCCCTGGCTTCTCTGTTCAGGTCAAAGGTGGTTTAGACACTCATCTTGGGCTATTAGAGGTCACTCAAGGGGTCCCTTTGCCCCTCTCTTGCTCCTGATCAGTTGCCAACTCAGTGCTGCCTCTGTGGTTCCTCTCTTCAGGGGCTCCCTAGCTCCTCTCGACACAGCAAAAGCAGGAGCAGAGATGAAGGTGTTTAGTCACCCACTCAAGCTCTCTCCAATCAGAAGGAGAGCAATACCTTGGGAGAAGAGAAAAAACATCCTTCCCATCCCGTTACCAGTTACTTGTTAACTACTAAACAGTTAATCGGTACTTGTGCCAGGAAAGCATTTATTTTCTTAGAGGCCTGTTTCTGTTCACAGAATACTTTGAATAAAATTTAAATAAGGCTCCTGAACACAGATTTGAAGTGATTTCATGGCAATGAAAAATAGGAACAATAAGACACTGAACTAATAGAAATTGTATGATGTTTAAAAGGACCTGAATGCTTTTGCCAGCAGAAAGCTATGAAGAGCTACATAATTTGTTCACGTGAACACAATCCATATGTTCATAAGTTTAGTGAAGGAGCTCAGGACTCCAACTCAATCAGGGCTTGAATTATGGCGTGTTATTACGGGCACTTGTTTGAGTCTCAGGTTCCCCATCTGACAAAAGGAAATACTAGTCTCCATTTAGTAGGGCCTACAATGTGCCAGATGCCCTGAATACATTTTCTTATCAACACAACACCCCAAAGTAGAGATTGTTATATAATATACATTCAGCATTATTATGAGAAACAAATAATTATGGAAGGCAGGAAGAAGACTGTGAAGCCTCCAGCACAAGCACTCAAATGTTGGCTTCCTTCTTTCTTTGCTTCCTCTCCCCTCAAATCCTTGAACTTTCTTGGTTTGCTACAGTGTGGAGCTGGCATTTTGCTCTGCAGTTTCCATGAGGAGTACTAAGTCCTAGAAGTTCTGAGACACCCCCCCCCCCC